AACAAATTTGTACTTCTGTTTTAACTTCTGGCTTTTTAGTAGCTGTATATCATGTGTAGCATCTTAAAATATGAATGAGGACGGTGATAGTGGGATACTAACTACAGCTGCATTTAGAGATGAAACTAAAAAATCTGAGCTTGAGATGGACTGAATTAAAAAAATACAATAATTTAAAGAACAGCACTCAGTGTTTGTTAAAATAATCCTGTTCTTGTTTGAGTAAATTTTAAGGCTTTTGTCATACAGACATGACTGCTCCTCAAACAAATTGATATGGTGATCCTCTCATCCCTCTGTCCAAAACTGACATGATCAGCTGACTTTGCTGAAAGCTGATTGGCTGTTGAAATACACCCACCAGCCACTTTATTATGTACAGGCTGCTAGTACCAGGTTGGACCCCTTTTGCCTTTAGAACTGCCTTATTCCTTTGTGCCATAGATTCAACAAGGTGCTGGAAACATTCTTTACAGATTTTGGTCCATATTGACATGATAGCATCACACAGTTGCTGCAGATTTGTCAGCTGCACATCCATGATGTGAATCTCCTGTTCCACCACATCCCAAAGGTGCTCTATTGGATTGAGATCTGGTGACTGTGGAAGCCATTGGAGTACAGTGAACTCATTGTCATGTTCAAGAAACCAGTTTGAGCTTTGTGACATGGTGAGTTATCCTGCTGGAAGTAGCCATCAGAAGATGGGTACACTGTGGTCATAAAGGGATGGACACGGTCAGCAACAATACTCAGGTAGGCTGTGGTGTTTAAACCATGCTCAGTTGGTACTAAGGGGACCAAAGTGTGCCAAGAAAATATCCCCCACACCATTACACCACCACCACCAGGACAGTTTACACCATCGCAACTTTTCCCTGTTTAAAGACAGTTTTGTCTTGTCATAAATCTTTGGTCTAATCTGGGCTTACAAGGCTGATGTTTTACATTTAGTGAGTGATTATTTTTGCGTAGATGATCCTTGATATTCATAAAAAGTACTGCAAAGTATATGAAATGTACAAATGACATATATCCTCTCTATCTGCAGTGGGTTGTAATTTGTAATGGGTCTAATAGCTGATACAAGAACTGGACAAATAGCTAGGATGTAAACTAAGTGAGATGTCCCCAGGTCAGGACCACCTGCCTTTTTGGTTCAGCCACCTGTGTGATGGAGAGGTAAGGAAAAAAGGAGAGAAGAGAGGCTAAACAAACAAGAGAAGGTCAAACAGACCTGCTGGGAAATGCCACTTACGTTTTCCATCATGAAGACAGCGGGGGAGAGAGGGACTTAGGGAAGGCTTACATGTTTCCACATCAGTTACTTTAACTGTGTTTGAATGTACAGGTTGTTGGCGGAAACTGACAAACAGCACCCTGCTAGGCCATACCGAATGTGTGTGTGTGTGTGTGTGTGTGTGTGTGTGTGTGTGTGTGTTCAAAAGGGAGGGAGCTAGAGTAAAGTACATAAAGAAGCTGAATGATCAATATCTAATGTAGAGTTGAGGATATTTACGAGACAGGTGTATGAAAAACTGGCAGTGAATACTGTCACCTGCAGTCAGTTCGTACCGTCTAAAAAGTAAATTAAATATAATTTAAGTCTCACTGATGTGTTGACAGTGATGATGAAACTGTTTAGAGCAGAGCTTCTTCACATTTCTTGCAGAGAAGACTGTTTTTATATCGACAATGTTGTTGTGCAGCAGCCAGTACCTATGGGTGTGTGTGTGTATGTGTGTGTGCAGGTGGGGGGGATAATTTAAACCAAGCATTTGTATGTTATAAAACCTTTGTTAGGCCTTTTATCTCCCCTACCTCCTCGAAAGAAACTCCTCAGTGGTCAAGTTTTTTTAATTAATTATTTATCATTTTATTTATTTAACTTTATTTACAGATGCTAGCTAGTTTCATCAGTAATAAGAACACAGCCATGCAGATTGAGTAGCTAAGGGGATGATGATGGACAGATGACCCATAACTTGTGTCCTGATGACACAATACTTTAAGTGAAGGTAAATTCAAGTTCAAGGTTCAATTCAAGGTAATTGCTGTACAAATTGCATATTAAATACTGTAATTATATTGCAATTTTTGTTTTTTGCTGAATCATATTACAGAAACCAATGCCTCAGAACACCACCGCAATAGTGGTACCTGGGTCACACAGCAGCAGAGCAGTTTCACATCATAATAATTGATCATAGAGAGTAATGTCATGAATTCTTGTTTATTTCTCCATGCTGTTCATTACTAATGCAGTGCCCATTCAAAACTTGCCTGTTCAGGATGGGCCAATTGCTGCTTGCCGCTTTTTCGAGAACCACTCATCCAACAACTTGGAACAAAAGCCTTCATACCAAAAGTTTCACCACTGATGTTTGAGTTTGCTACAGCAGGGCGTCCCACACATTCAATTATGTGTTAGATTTTCTGTTTTTGCAGCTGGACTGTTCATTAGGTGACTTGTTGGAATATATATACCGATTGATTATCCAGTGTAGAGGGCTGCATTGGGATTGGGTCCCGCCGGGTCCCGCCGGGTCCCGTGGGACCCGTGGGACCCAACCCAAATCTTGCGGGAGCGGACGTTTTGAACTTTGCTGCGGGCAGGAACGGGCAGCTAAAAAAACCACTGCGGTATCGGGATGTAGCCTATAGCGACAGGATGGAGTTAACAAATGATGTGGAAAAGAAACTCAAACAAGGTCTGAAGGCGCACTGAGCCCACTACTTCCCAGAGCTCACAAAGCTGGCACGTTTCATCTTCAGTATCCCCGCATCCAGTGCGCCTTCAGAGCGGGCCTTTAGTGTCTGTGGGGGCATCTTGGAAGAGAGACGCACGGGATTGGGACCACAGTCGGTCAGCAACAGTCTCTTCCTCCACAGCAATATTATGGCCAAGCGATTCATTTGTTTCATTTATGTTATTTATTAGTGTTATTTGAGCCACTCACAGCCTACTCTCATTGCTATTTGTTGATTACATAAAGAGGCGTGATGATGCCGGTGTTATTGAGCATAGGCTTTATCTTTATCTCATTAATGTTTCTTATTCAGGTCTCTCTTAGAAAAGAGTCCTTAACCTCAATCACTGCGTGATTATATAAAGGTAGAAAAATAAATAAAATACAGAGGAGGAGAAAAGAATATGAAACAGCCTTTATTTCATTAAAAACTAAATGAAAACAATGAAATAGGCATAGCTGTCAAGTCTCCCATTTTGGCCGGGAAACTACCATATTTTACCCCTCTTTCCTGCCGTCCTCCCGTATTAGTATTTTCCCGTAAATCTCCCGTATCATAATATAATTAAAAAAAACAAACAAACATTCCTCTGCCTCTCCAAACTGAAGTCTGTCACTAGCCTCTCGACAACTGCCACCTGCAGTAGCCTGGGTGCTCATTTCCACGTCAAGTTAGTTGAGTGAGCGCTGGGGCGCCCCTATTATCACATTTCAACCAGCAGCAGAAAGGAAAGGCGAATCCTGGTGGTTGTGAGTTGAACAGGGGTCACAGACAGGAATACCGCGGAGGCTCATAGTGCTCTGCAGCACAAGATAACGGCTTACTGGCGACAGAGAAGTCCGACTCCAGGTCCAGTAATTTTCTCTTTCGTTGGTGTCATGACTGCCCAGTAGTACCTGGACAGCCGAGCTGTGGCGGCACACAGGTATGTGATGTGTCACAGGAGAAACGAGCCGTTCACATTTCTCTTTGTGTCAGGTAAAGGTCCACAAACCTCACCGCACTTTAGGGACTGTTCTCAACTTATCAGAGGAGGAGGGTGGCTGGTTGATTTTTATTTTATTTTTTTATTTTATTATGGGTGAGGGATGGTTCGCTGGAAAATTTCCCTTATTTTCAAATCCAAAACTTGACAGGTATGGAAATAGGAACGCTATTCCTGGCCAGTGCGTCAAAAGACATGCAGGCCAGGGAAACGAAACAAACAACCCCAAGAATCTCTTTATTAATAGCCTATAAAATGACGTGTTTTCTCCTGCGGGATGGGAGAAGACACGAAATCAATGTATCTCTATTATTGTGCGGGCATAAATTCTCAGAGTTTTGCAGGAGCGGGCGGGAGTGGACATACACATTGCGGGAGCGGGCGGGAGTGTAACACACACGTTGCGGTTGTGGGCGGTAATGGTCAGAAATTCAGCGGGAGCGGGCAGGAGCGGGATGAAGAAAACAGTCCCGCGCAGGGCTCTAATCCAATGCTCAACAGCAGGACGCCACAGATGGATCAGCAGAATGGCAATGGCAATGTCACCAACCCAGCCTGATTGTGCTGCTTTAACCAAGGGATCAAAAGGCAAAAGATCTTAAGTTGGTGAGTCCATCTTCTTCTGGATGGGGTGCTGGGTGATTTGTACTTCACCCTTTTAATTTGTCACTTCCAATTGGCCGAGAGGTGACCAGACTCGACATCAGAAATTAATTTGGACAAACAGAGTGAATCTACTGTGTCTCAATTAGCGGGGATAATAAAGCTTTTCTTTTCACTCTGCACCTGAGCCACGTGAAAGTGAAACTGTCTGGGAGTGTCTAGACATGTACACACACACACACACACACACACACACACACCTCTAATAAAGCCTGTTGTTTTCACACATATACACTCAACAAAAATGACTTAACCGATGTAAGATTAAAAAAAAAAGCATATGCTTGGAGTCTTGGATGATTGATGGTGACATACAAAAAAATTATGCATAAAAACACATATTCCCCAGCATGGAATGACAAGGTGACAGAGATGGACGGAGCAGCAGGTGAGACAAAGGAGAGATGCATCTCCCCCCCCCCCCCACAGTGAAATTACAATTGAGTCTATATGAAATCAGCACAGTGACGCAGCATCTTTGCAGCAGCACCTAAAAGCATATGCAGGATGGAGAGACAGGGGGAGAGATAGAGACAGGGGGTGAGGTGACAAAACAAAGAGAGAGAGAGAGAGAGAGAGACGGATATATCAAGAGACTCACCTGGCTAGATGGGATGTTGTCTGTGGCTCAGAGGAAAGGCTAATATCCAAGACCTGAAGGCAAGAACAGTAGTGAGGGGGAGACAGAGAGAGAGAGAAGGGGGGAGAGATTAGATTTGGCTGCCAGTACTTTGGGAGTGCAGTGGCAGGTGGCACCTTGGTTTAACACACACACCTACACACACACACACACAAACACACACCATCGCTATATCTTTGAGACAGATGGAGAGAAAGGAGGTGGTGGCAGAGGTGAGAAAGTAGTAAGAAGCAGCTGAGGTGGGAGAGTATGACTGAAAGTGGCTTCCAATCAGTTGTGGATCTAAAGGAAGCCCTGTGCTTTCACCCTGCAGGGAGTAACACAGTGCACAGGAGGGACATAGAGAAAGAGATAAAGTGACAGCAAGAAAGGGAGAGCTTATCGATGTATGTGTGTGTGTGTGTGCATGCGTGTGGTTGTTGATGCCTCCCTCCGGCTGACAAAAACACACACAGTAGAAAGCCTTAAAAAGGGTAAACAAGACCATATAGCTCCATTTAACAGATACACAAGCGCAGACACAACCTAGTTGGCTTTAGTCCGACAGCCACAGTCTGAACATACTGATACATGTAGACACAGTGGGCTACTGTGGGTATCTCAGCAAGAGGGAGATGGGTTCATGTCAATGTGAATGGCACTGAAGTTGTAATCGACTATATAAATCATCCCTGTCAAAATACTGAGCAGCGGACATTTCCAATATTCTTTTCTATGATCAATTTGGACAGCAAAGTTTTTCTTATTTAATCACAGAGAGTTAGGATATGATAGTCACACACCAGGGAAAGCTGGGGTCGCTTTAACATTTCCTGAATCTCTCCATACACCTCAGGGGTATTGCTGCCTGGTGCCAAAAACCACCCAAACTGACAAACAAATGACCAAACTCATTGTGGAAGTGCAGCATCATACTTTTGGAAAAACCTCATCCTGAATGCTTGTAATCTCATTCACCAAGTCAGCATACAAAGTCTGTGACCATGGACACAACAAATGTAGACAAAGTTGCCAGAATATATTGACATTGTAGGTTTCGGTCAACCACACATGTTACATTTGTGTTTCTCATCAGGAGGTGGAGGGGGTGGTGGATGGCATGACACCTAGTAAATAAGGAGGGGGAAGGGATGGTGGACGGCATGACACCTAGAAAATGAGGAGGGGGAAGGGATGGTGGATGGTGCGACACCTCAGCGAGACAGCTGTCAAGCAGCAGCAGACCAATGATCAAGACCAACAAACAACAAAGCTAATGTTATTTAACAAGAAATCCAGACATTTCCAGCCATGTTTGGGCCAACCAAACTGTATATTTCAACCAAAAACACAATGTAGTCCTAGCTTTAACCAAGTGTCAACACTAACAACACTAAAACACTAAAAACTGAAATGTAAAGAAATATAACGTCAACATAACCACTACACATGAAACATGCAAATTTCACATATGAAATGTACAAATATAACATATCCATGGTTTGCCAAAACGTTAAATGCCAACATTTATTCTGGCAATACGGTTAAGTAACCTCATTACTGCCATAACGCAGTGGCAGTGCATAGGGACTCAAGATACAAGAAAAAAAATGTTATCACAAACAACCAATGTTTGTATGTCTCTGAAAGGCGATTACGATCATATTTTGAGACAACATGACACAGCACTGCATAGGCTTAACAAGGAGGTGGCTGAATGGCATGCAGACAAAGTGCAGGACCTCCTGTCTTAGGTTGAGGCAACAAAGGCACTTTGGTTGAGATGTCATTAAAAAAGGTGCTAAAAAAATCTTTAGTCACTACAATTGGATAATGTATTGCAACGTTGCCTATTTTGGCAGGAAACAATTGTGGTCAGTTAACATTTTGCTCAAACGTTCAGTATCAACATTTTTGCGACTTGCCAGATACATTCATTAGCAACGTTGTCTTATTATGTGGACAGTAATCTCTCAAGACAGATTCTGCAATTTACATTTTTTTTTTACCGATGGATTTCCAGATTGTATGGACAGCAAATATACAGTAATTGTCCCTCATAAGGTATTTTCAAATTAGTGGCATGTAAATGTAATTTCTAGGAGACAAGGCTGTCACAAATGTGTTTTAGCATGTCCTCAGATATGGAATTAATGATCCTCATCCTTGGTTCATTCAGAGCACCTTGGAGATCAACATCCAATAAATATACAAGGATGTCATCAGCTGCAATTGGTGCAGATGCCATCCCCACACCCAAACTGGTCCCGGCTGTGCCATTATGAATATAACAAAGGAGGAAAGAGAAGGCATAATTTGAGTCCAAAATCCCTAAATGTGGTAAACATAGAACAAGTGCTGTGTTTTTTTATACCTGTAGTACCTCACTTAGGAAAAAAATCAGCTTTTTGCACAAAGCACATCCAAGCAGAATTTGAAGAATTCTATATGAACTCACAATTATCCTTAAAAGCCTAAAAAGCTCATGTAGTCTTCCACAACTAGAACAGAATCAGGGTTCCACCTCCTAGAGCTCTGACAGTCTGTTGCAAGCTCCTGTCCAACACCTTTTGGCAAAAGCTGATTCCAAACAAGACAAAAGTATCATTCTACAATAGCTGTAACTCACAGCCTCACAAGTCTCTGGTTGGCTGCACAGACCTGATGCACAATGTGGGCTTCTGTACATACAAAGGATGTGAGGTAGCTTATTCATAATAGCATTGCTACACATAAACTACAAAAAGTAGCAATAAAAGTGACTCTTAAAGCCTTTAAGACCTTTAAGTTAAAGGTCTTGGGAACTAAAGTGTGCTTTCTTTACAGATTAGGTGATTTAATACATTTCTGCATTTGCATATGTCTCTTCAGACATATGAGATAATGAGTAAATCAACAAAATATAAAAGTAGAATTACCGAAATATGAATTTGTATGCCTCCACAAACCAATCCACATGCACTAACAGTTTATATCCATGTCTGTCCAGACTCATATGTAGCCATGACAGTTGACAATGCTTCAAATGTTGCTGCAGTGAAGCTGCATGTATAAAACATGGATGTTTCCCACACACTTTCCTCCTGGCTGCACAGGGGATCTATACAATCAACACAGTTTCAACACTGACACCCAAGATGAGTATCACCCATTCAAAATCCAATCACATTTCTCCCCTTCTATTCATGAGATATGGTGCTGAATAATGGCCAGGAAAATGTTTTTGCAAGACATTATGATGTCATAGTGAAGCTGACCTTTGACTTTTTGGATAATAAATATCATCGTGTCTTCATTATATTCTATTAGACATCTGTGTAAAAAAAACTAAATTCTTCAGTTACAATCAATCAAAAACAAACGTTTGACCACCAACTTCTAATCTCGTCATCCTTGAGTCCAGATGGACGTTTGGGCCAAATCTTAAGAAATTCCCTTGAGGCATTCTTGAGATCAAGTTTCATTCATTTCAATTAGACAAGTTCTTTGATAATGTACAGGTAACTACCGTTCAACTAGTGGACATAGAGACCAAGGAAAAAACTGATGTATCAAAAGAGTATAAAATGCTGTGCAGTGTCATTGTGTCTGATATGTCTCCAAACTGGACTTCCTGCAGTGTCTTCTCACTGCTACCTGTATCCACATGCCCACACAACCAACAGTACCTTTTTAAAGTAGAGCTATTTTTAATCTGAACACAATATGTGGTCTACTTTTCCAATTAAGCTGAATCTTGTACCCCTGAGGAGTCAGGGCAATAGGATTAGAAGAAATGCCACATAGCACCAGCAGGGGGGAGCATATAAAAAAGACAAAAAGACATTTTGGGTCTCGCCGCTGGTGTAAACAACTGTAAAAGCTGAATCAGAAACATACCTGTTCTGTCACATGGACTTACCCAGACAACTGAAACATGTGTACAAGGTCTTCAACTTAGACATACAGGGAGAGACAGAGGGTCAAGAGGTAATGAAAAGATGGAAGAAGGCAGGTTTTTCCATTAGTGTTCTATCGATAAATTGTCTGCAACTATTCAACTATCAATCGATGAATTAAAAATGGAAATTCTTGCAAGCTGAAACCTGAAATTGTTCAGTTGTCAAAAACACAAGGCAGACGTTTTGGCATTACTTGCCTTCATAATGCAAACGTCTCAATGTACAGTCAAATAGCAAGTAAGGCTGTCTGTGCTCATTTCACAGCTTCATCAGCCTAATTTCACTCTGTCTGTTCAAGATAAAGACAGCTTTTCAGGAATACAACGGTTCCTAAGGCTTTGCACCATAATCGCACAGCGTCTGTCTGAATTTCCATCATAATTTAAAATGTCTTGAAATCAGTAACCTTTTACCCTCAATGTGAAATGGTTCCAACAAGCACATTTTCTCAAGAATAGAATTTCATGCTGAGAATTGTCTTGTTTCCAAAGGCTTTGTTTGATAAAGGAACAAAAGATTCATACAAAACCTTCACAACTGAGTTAAATGTCTTGCTGTTGTAAGGCAACACTACTTGTATATGAACAGGACCAACACCTCGTGCTCCCCGTGAGCTTATAGCAAACAGTGCATGTGTACACTGTAACTTGGTTGCCCTTTGCAGTCCACCCCTGATGGATGCTTTCAGAGACCTCAGCAGGCTGTCCTGCTCAGCTTCCTGTCGGCCCTGCTGTTATTAACAAGAACTATTCTTAATCTGATCAAATGGTGTTTGACAAAAACGCTGGATTCCAAACATGACATGACATGATTAACCCCTGAACCTGGTTAATGTGTCAAAGAAATTAGATGTGCTGTAACACCTTTCTTTCCCCCAGTGGACAGTGCCAAATAGGTGAATAGATACAACCAGGTGACATTGGATCTGCAGTCATGCTGTGATGACACAGGTGGTACATGAAGTAGAGCAAGAACTGCATTCTGTTGACATGAATACACCTATAAATACATTTCAAAGTATGAGAAAGTCCCCTCTTTATAGAGTGTTTCTTTTGAACCACATTCATACCGTATATTTCCAATACAGTGAAGCA